GAGGGAGGGAGGGAGGGAGGGAGAAAGAAAGAAAGGGAGAAAGAAAGGGTCCCCAGAAACATGCTTGATAGAAATCGCTCCTTTCTCATAATGATTGTATGTCAGGTCAAAGCACAATACCTTGGATTTTGTCAAATTAAAAGAGAAAGCATTTATTTTCTTAAATGTGGGGCATAATAGATGAAAACGCTGACCAGGGTGCACAAAGCCTGCTTCTAAAATCCCTGTGCTCAGAACTCTGGGGGAGCACCTAGCGGTCAGTGCATCTGAATAGCCCTCTCTGTTGAAACTGCTGTACCAACCAGAATACGAGTGGGAGTCAACATCCCTGAGAAAAAAACAACGTTTTTTCAAAAGTTTTACTAAGAGAAATCAGAAAATGCTACAAAGCACCCCATGCTGACTGCCAAGGGCAAACCCAGACAGTGGCTGCAGGCACTGTTTTGTTGCACAGCCGCTCAGGCAAGGGCTGTAAGGACAGGCCAGTCATCTCCGAGAGGAAAGGAGGGGCTGTTCTCCTTCCTACAGACTGTGCCCCACTGCTTTTTTTAAAAAAGATAAAGGTCCAGTCTTCCTTGGCATGACTGAATTGATCCCCATACAGTCAATTCAGAATCTTCAGCTGGTTTTGGGATCAATCGCACTGGGATTGAAGGGAATGACCAGGCCCGGATCCACCTCGGCTGACGTGAAGACTGAGAATTTGAGAACTGACCAGGGGGGCTCTGCCCTGATGCCTCTTGGTAGAATGATGATAAAACTGCTCGGATTCTCCCCTCCTCCCTGCATCCATGCACTTCACAAGGTGATTCTGCATCTCTCTCACCAGGCGGTAGAATCTTTCTTTTCCCCATCGTTTGTATCTGGGCAGGCCTGATGTCTTTTTTGCCCAACAGAATGGGGTGGAAAGGTCCTTGGGTCCATTCTGAGACTAAGCCTTAAGAGGCTTTGAGTGCTTAGGCTCTTGTCCTTGGAACCCTTCCTGACAGCCACGGAACAAGCTCGGCTAGCCGGCTGTATGAAGACAGTGACAGCCACTCCTGTCACCCTAGCCAACAACCAACCAACCAACCAACCAACAGACCTGGGCATGAGGCCACCCTAGATGGGCCAGCCTCCAGCTTACCACACACATATGCAAGCCCAGCCAGGACCAGCTGAACTGACGCGGACGAGCAGAGCCACCCAGCTGACCTGCAGACTTTGAACAAGAATAAGTGGTTGCTGTTTTAAGCCACTCCACCGCGAGGTGGTCTGTAATACAGCAATAGATGCCGATACAATCATCAAATGCAGCCAGAGCCTTTGAACAGCCAAGGAGAAGAAGGGGCAGCCTTCGATCTACAGAAGGAGCGTGTGCCTTTGTTTGCAAATAAAACTTTATTGGAGTACAGGCACATCCATTCATTGTAGCTTTCCTGCTGTGACAACAGGTAAAGTACAGTTGACCCTCTGCATCTGTGGATGCAGAGGGCCGACAGCACTACCCCATTTTATATTCATAAAAGACTCGAGCATCACAGATTCTGGTATCGGCAAGAAGGTCCTGGAACCAATCCCCCGCAGATACCTAGGGATGACTGTAGTTGCGAGAGATACCATCTGGTTTGCAAAGCCTAAAATATCTACTGTCTGTCCCTTTAAGAAAAAAAAGCTTGCTGATCCCTGGTCTAGGGCATAACAAATAGTAACAACCACCACTGTGATAATCACCACCATCACCATCACCATCATCGAACAAACCTGATACAAAGGACTGACTTAAGAGTCAGGAGATCAGAATTCCTGTAGTGAGCATTTTGGCAGGTTCTGTCTTCTCTCTCTGGGCTTCAGTTTCCACATCTGGCACTTAAGGAGGATGAGCAAGAAACTCTCCAGTCACTTCCACAGTTGATTTAAACCTCAGTTTGCTCAGACCAAAGGAAATGGGGGTGGGGCCTAGGAATACGCATTCTCGCAGGCATCTCCTTATTTTGCTATCCCCGCACCCAAGCCCAGAGCCCCAGATGATTCAAATGCAAGTGAAAGCCTAAGAACCACTGATTTACACCATTTGGTTTCAGAGGGCTTGTCCGTGGAAAAGAAAGGCAAAAGCGCAAGTGTTTCCATGGGACGTTATGAGAAATTGCAAAGACTGCTTTGGCAAGGAGATGTTTTAAGAACATCAAGCTGAGGCTGCCAGTTGGAATGTCCCTGAACAAATAAGTCTATGAAGAAGCCAGTCATAATATTCATCAAAGGGAGATAGGAGGAAAGTATGGAGTGGGGCTCATCAAAAGCTGAAATATTAATAAGGGATAGGAATGTGTCCAAATACATGGTGGTGGTGGTGGTGGTGATAGGGATGATGATGGTGATGATGATGATGATGATGCCCATGGTGTTGGTGACGGTGCCATCTTCCACCCACGAACTAAGTGCTCTTACTAAGGATCTGCCATCTTGTCTTACAGTTTCACTCTTGCATTATTTTACTCTTCAAGTACAAGAGACTTGGCTGTCCAAATGTATCACTAGCTCCTCAAAGGTAAGGCCTTGGGATATACCTTCTGTGTCGTGTGTGGTGGTGAGAGGTCAGGCTCTGCAGTGAGACACACTTGGCTTAAAACCCCAGTGCAGCAACACACTGAGCTCTGTGACCTTGGGCAGGCTAGTACACCTCTCTGAGATTCTGCTCTCTCACCTGCAGGGATGGGATAATAATACACCTACACAAAAGGGCTGCTGAGAGGACTGAGACAGTGCCCACCGAGCAGTCAGTAGTACTATTTTTATTGTGCACACTGTAGGGGCCTAATAAATATTTGAGCAGACAGAATCCAGTGCACCATGTTCACTGGCCTAAAGTAGTTCTTATATGGGAGGGCTGGGGGTATGGGTGTGATTTTGCCCCCAGGGGGCATTTGGCAATCTCTGGAGACATTTTGGTTGTCACAGCTGGGGAGGGGGGTGCTCCTGGCACTAGGGGGTGGCGGCCATGAATAGCGCTAAACATCCTACGGTGCACAGGACAGTCCTTTCCAACAAAGAAGTATTTGTCCCCAAACGTCAATAGTGCCGAGGTTGAGCAATCCTGCCTTACAGTCAATTTCTATCTCTGTGCCTGAAATCTCCCAGTTGAAAAGTGCTAACTAGTGAAAAAGACAAAGCTGGGCTTAGAATTCTCTGGAACAGATAGGAGGGGAACAAGGTGTCAAGGTTTTGGAAAGCCCAAGTATTCTTTGGAGGGTTGGTTAGCCCCTGTCACATCACGCAATGAAGAGTTTGTGCCTGGGGTCGGCTCAGAAGGCGGCAGGGGCTTCTCTGGGAAATAGCTCCTTGAGTCTTGGGGAAAACATGTCCCCGGAGCCCTGGGTGAGACATCTGCTAGGCACATGCTGCAGACAGATTTTATCAGGCTTTGCAAACTATTTGACATTAGTGTGTCTGGTGTGGTAAGGGATGGAATGACTCAGTCCCAGCTGGATTGCCACTTAGCTCTAAGCCCCCATGTTTGCCTTCTGTTATTTTTAACACCACATAACACTGCTGGCCCCAGGCTCCCTGTCCCTTTTCAAGAGGACAAAGGAACAGCTCGACAGCTCCCAGCTGTTTGAGTCATTTGACTTTGGCTTCGCATGATAAGCAGATGAGCCAGAGGTGGGACTACTTACACGTGAGCCTCAGGCAGCGAGGGCGCAATGATGCAGCTGTGCACGGGGGTGAACGGACACAGGAGGACTCCCATCCCCACCTTCTTCATCTTCTCGTCCCCGTTTGTGCTGAAGGTGAAGCGGAATGAGAGCAGCAGAGTGAACGGGCAGGAGCTGTTTTAAATGCCCTCTTCTCTCGCCAGGGGTTGTCTGGCAAATATCACTGGGCACCTGCTATGGGCCAGGCAGTAATTCCCGCTGGAGAGGTGAAGGTTCTAGATGCAGCCAGTAAGCAGAGCATATTAGACCCCCTTCTCTCATGGAACACATATTCCCATGAAGGAGCAAATAAGATAAATCGGGCAGCTGTGTGGTATACTGGTATACTAGACTAGCGGTCGGATATGTTTTGTTATCTGGCTAGACAAATATTTATGATGTTGTGGGACATTCGGTCTATGTCATGACTACTTAGTAGCAGGAAAGCCATTGACAGAATGTAAGCAATAAGCAAATGGCAGGGTTCCAATAAAACTCTATTTACACATGATTCACTCTGTTATAAAGCAGAAACTAACACACCATTGTAAAGCAATGATACCCCAATAAAGATGTTAAAAAATAATAAAAAAAAAAACCCTCTATTTACAAAACCAGCCTGGGGGCTGGATTTGGCCCATGAGCTGCAGTTTGCTGACCCGTTCCCATCCCCACCCCCACTAGACAGTGATGCGTGCTATGGGGAGAAAAAAGAGAAGGGGGCTCAGAAGGGCTGGGAGAGCTGGGGCTTGCAATTTTCAATAGAGTGATTGGGGAAGTTATCACCGAGAAGGTGACATTTGATAAAAACCTGCAGTGGAAGGGAGTGAGCCATTCAGATGTCTGGGGGCAGAGCATTCTGGAGAGAGGGAGCGACAGGTGCAAATGTCCTGAGGTGGGACTGTGTTTTAGAGACGGCAAGGAGGCACGTGTGGCTGGAGTGAGCAACAGAGAGAGAGGGAGGGAAGGATGGAGAGAGAATAGGGGACTTGCAGACCAGTGCGAGGACTCTGGCCTTTTCCCTCAACGAAAGTAAAGGACTCTGAGCTGAAAGAGGACATGATGTGACCAAGGATCCCTCTGGCTGCTGTTTTGAGAATGGCCGATGGTGGGAGTGGAGGGCAAGGAGACCAGTGAGAAGTATTACAATAATTTCAGCTTGAGAGAGGAAGGTGGCCGGCACCCAGGGTCCTAGCGACAGGGGTGGTGGGAAGTGGAGATGGCGGGTGCACACAGGGCAGGAACTGCCTTGAGTCAGCGGCTCTTATTTGCGGTCCTTTCCTTAAAGGGGCTTCTCCCAACTCTCCAGACTGCTGACTCACTGGCTGGATGAACCAGCCGTGAGACGTGGGGATCTCGAGCTTCAGGCGTGGGCACAAGTGTGCCCCCAAAGATCAGCCACGACCAGGCGTACCTCTCTGGAAGCCCATCCCCTGCCCCACAGAGAATACAGAAGCTTCCTCTGAAGCCAAAACCATCTGGGGGAAGCGGGGGTGGGGGTGGGGGGAAGGGATGCTTAGAGAGGAGAGAAACAGCCCAAACAGGCAGCTCATCTCTGAAACCATTGCACATTTACCCAAAAAAGATTGTTTCAAAGTGAAAAATATTAAGTTACATTTAATACCACAGTTAAGTTTTTCTTTTCAGCACCATCATGGAGTAAGTCATTTCAGTCAGAGAAAACGGGGTTTGTTTGTTTTTTTTTCCTTTTTGGCTATGTGGGTCACAGGGTATATATTTTTTGCCCATGACCAAATCTAGCCCATAGACATGTTTTAATAAGCCTACTGTGTGCGTAATGGAATTGATTGTCTATATTTTAAAATTGGGAGATGTCACAGAAAGATGGAAAAGCTTTGGTTCTTGAAGACTTGAAAGTTCTTGCCACTCTGAGTAAGAGCTGGGTGAGGCCCAAGGTCAAGATTGCTGCCCACTTTGCACGAGGTGTGTGCCTCCTGGGTTGCCTGAGACTCAAAAACCCGTGGCATCTCAGTCCCAGCTTGCCTTACATATTTATGCTACCAGTTTGCTCCTTTAAAGCCTTGTAGTTTCTCAGCCTGAGTACTTTAATACTGATTGAATCATTGACGGGTTCCCTGATTCATTCACGTCTACCTGTATCTATGGAACATCTCTGCGCTGGGGGCTGTAGGTGCGGTGATGGACACAGATCCAGCCCAGCCCCTCCCCTCCGGAGCTTAAGAGCCTCCTGGCGGCTTTACGCAAACACAGCTGTGATAAGGCTGAGCTGGAGAGTGTGTGGTGCTTTGACAGACCCAAACAGAGAATCTGGCTGAAATGGAGCCAGGGAATACTTCCCGGAGGGAGTTGTGTCAATTTAGAAACATGGGCCTCAAGTTTCTTCTAATGGGAAGGTGGCTTTATAGCCCCGATTCCCCTGGAATCTTGGCTTTCTGAGTGCCTGGGCCAATAGAATGTGTCAGAAGTGGTGTGATGCCAATTTCTGGGTCCCGGCTCCAGGAACTGGCAGCTTTTCCTTCTTATGTCTTGGGATGATCACTCTTAGCACCCAGGCACCACCATGCTGGGAGGAAGCTGGCAGCCTGTGAAGAGACTCATAGGGAGGAGGACCAAGACTGTGGGCTCTCAGTCCTGGATGAGCTCAGAGCTGACAGCCAGCCCCAAGGTGCCACCGTGTGCACGAGCTCTCTCGGAAACAGACACTTTGAGCTGCCCCAGCTAGTGCTGAATCCCTCCCCACTTAACCCTACTCAAATGGCAGATTTATGAGTGAAATAGATGTTTGCTGTCTTGAGTTAATAGGTTTTGGAGTGGTTGCTCACAGCAACAGTAACTGGAACAGAAGTAAATATTGAGCTGAGATCTGCAGGCTGAATGGGAATTCAGTAGGCAGAGGGCGGAGGGAGAGGTCCTGGGGAGGAGGGAGAGGGGGACAGTGTGGCTGGAGGGGAAGCCAAGGGCTAGCCCATCCAGAGCCTTGTAGCCCCTGCTCAGACTTTTGTCTTTATCTGATAAAGAATGGTGGCCACTGAGGATTTTAAACTGGGAGTGGTTTACATTTGGAAAGCTCGCTCTGGCTTAGCATGGGGAAAGGAGCCAGAAGAGGTGGAGGCAGCCATTAGGAAGTCACCTTCCTCCTGGGAATTTGAGGACAATCTTGGGGTCACAGAGCTAACTAAAAAATAGGACCAGAACCTAGGTCCCCTGCTTTCCATTTCCACAGGCTCTTTTTTCAACCCTAGAGCTGAGGAAACCACAAGCCAATATGTTGGCATGCCCAGGCTTACTGGCTCAACCCAGTGGTCTAGAATACGGGGAAATTAACCCAGCTTTTACACTCCTTAATCTCTTGTTTTATGTCTCGTCTCAACTGCAAACATAAGACAAATTCTACCTGTTGTTTTTTTCGCCTTTTTCAGCCGAACCTGCAGCAGAGAAATGAGGTCAATGAACACAGTGGGAAAGACTGCTTGCAGGCCGGAATCTTTGGGGACATGCTTGATTTTCTTTTTCCCCTACATAGTTGGTCAGACTTAAAACTTTGGTCTAAAAGAACTTATCCTATGGTCTTAGATCCGGGGGCGGGGGGGGGGGGGGGGGGGGGAATCCCTTTTGCTTTTAGAATGCACAGGATCAAATACTGTGTTAAAAAAGCAGTTTCTAAATGAACACTTGTATTTTTGACAATTCTGTGATTGGAATTATATTTATAGAACATAGCTCTTACATGTGAGATGCCTTCTACCCTGCCTGGAAATTAAGATTTTTAGCCATAGATCTGAGGGTTTTAAGTAATTGAGGGCCAGAGAGATCAACTTCATTTCACTGCATAATAATAGCTAGCAATTACTAAGCACGTCTCATATGCCAGGCTCTGTGCTAAGTGTTATTTCTTTTAATCCTCATAACAAATTTGGGAGTTAGGTACCATTCATAAGGGTGTAGACAGAGAAGGCTCAGAGCAGCACAGCGACCTGCCCAAAGCTAAACAGTTGTATGGGGGAAGTCTGGACTCAAACCCCAGCCCTGTGCTCTTAACCACTACTCCCTACTGGTAGGGAGAATCTCCCAGTGCTATTTTATAACCCCTGCCGCCCCCACCTGCATTTGACGGCTATGTTGCAATAATAGCCTCCAGTTTTATTTTAATGACCAGCCTTGCACAGCTCATGGAATCCACTGGATAAGTCATAACCAGACCAATGTCGACGTGAGGAAAGATCTCATGCATATTTAAACTTATTAAACTTTAAATATACCATGTCTTGCACACTGAAACATGGATCGGAGAGGGAAGAATTGTGTTCTGTGACCATGGATTAAAAACCCCACGCAAACAAGGGCAACGTTACAACCAAACTATTTAAACAGTCACGGGAGGACCTTTACAGATGCCACCTTCCCCAGCGCCTGTTTGTTTGCCCAATAATCTGAGCAAAAAGTTCCTGCGAAAAGAGCCACTAGTTCGTTCCTTCTCTTTATTCTAGAGAGAGGCTGCCAGGTGACTAGTGCCCCTAGAGGGACCAGACTCAGAGAGGGTCATCGGGCTCTTAGATGACACTAAGGGCAAAACTTGCGCTGAGCTCGTGGGACCTTCACGGAAAGGGTAAGAACGCCTCGGCTCACTGAGTGGCTTTCTCTGTATCCCGCGCCTCTTCAAGGTCCCGTGAGGACACTTCAGTGGGGTCCACTGAGTGGCTGGATGGAGGTGGCTCAGGTCATGACTTGCCTGCTTCTTTTTTTTTTTTTTTTTTCATTCTGAAAATCATATTTCTGATTTTGGCAATAGATAACTCCACCACACCCTCCTTCTCCAGCCCTGGCCTTTCTAACCAGACGTGCGGGCTGCAGGATTTCCGGCGGGCTGATACAGATGGGTCTAACCATACCTCTTTTTTTGTCACCCACTGAACTGCCATTCAGCATTAAAGATCCTGCTCAGAAGTCACACTTCTGGGGATTCTTTCCAGATTTCCTTTCCACCCCCTAAAGTTGAGCGGGCGGACATTGAGAAGTAATAGAAAAAAATACATATATTGGTCTCTGCCCTCACTTTCTGGCACTGAGCTCCTAAAACCCTTGGAATTTCCTACGTGATAAAGAGTACCAGGGGCATCTCGTTTTAATATTTGGTCTTAGACCCTGGATCCTGACACAGAGCTCCCAAATCCCTTGGAATTTTCTGGGTGATAGAGGTGTCCTTTTCTGGGGAATGGGGCAACTCTTGGTGGGCTCCTGGATAGCTTTAGGATGGGGGCTGGTCGCCAGAAAGACCAAGCCATGATTAGAAGCTTGGACCTCTCAGCCCCACCCCCAGTCCTCTGGGAAGGGGAGAGAGGCTGGAGACTGAGTTAATGACAGAGCATGCCTATGTGATGAAGCCTCCATAAAAATCCCTGAAGCACGGGGTTTGCAAAGCTTCCGAGCTGGTGATCACATCCAAATAACGGGAGGATGGCACTCCCCAACTCCACAGGAACAGAAGCTCCCGTGCCTGGGTCCCTTCCAGACCTTACCCTACGTACTTCTTGATCGGGGTGCTCATCTGTACCCTTTATTATGTAATAAAATGGAAAATGTAAGTCAGTGTTTCCCTGAGTTCTGTGAGCCATTCTAGAAAATTATCAAACCCAAGGAAGGGGGTCATGGGAACCCTGATTTATAGCTGGTTGGTCAGAAGTACAGGTGGACAACCTGGGACTCGTGATTGGCGTCTGACATGGGGGCAGTCTTGTGGGACTGAACCCTTAACCTGTGGTATCTGATGCTAACTCCAGGTAGAAAGTGTCGGAACTGAATAGGATGGTAGGATGCCCTGCTGGTGTCGCAGACATTTGCTTGGTGTGGGGGAAAACCCCACACAACTGGTGTCAGAAGTATGAGTGTGATCATGGTGTGAGAGTAAAGGAGAAACACATGGGAGGAGTGTTTTTCCTTTACAGGCACACTTCAGGGCACTTGAGGTGCACCCCCATGGTACTGTGTTGTGGCACCGCATGCGGTAGGGACTGTCCCTCAATCCTTTTCATATCTCCGTGCCATCAGAAGGCCTGCACGCAGTAGGTCTTCAAAATACAAACGGTTGGCTGTACAATGAGAACAGGCCTGGGTCAAGGTAGTCTCCCATTCTCACCCCTACACTTACTTGGAAGCCAGGATAAAGGTCCAAGTCATAATGCACTAAGGGGCCACAGATATTTTACTGAAGATCTTCTGGGGAAACTGAGGAATGGATTTACATGTCACACTATGAGGCAAAACCTCAAAAAAACCCTCATTAGACATCTCTGTTCTCGCCCACTGATGGTTGCCTTTCCTCTCTTCTCTCCTCCAAAGGGTCCCTTCTGCTCACACTCTCGGCCTGTCTCCTGAATGTCTCCATTCTATCTGTCAGGGAAGCCTCTCTGCTCTTCCTGTCTATCTGCGTATTCACTTGAATACACTTGCTCACCAAAGAAAGCTTCTCCTTGGGATGCTCACTCCTTGGAAGGCATGTGGTGGGGACTGTAAATCATAGATATTCTCTAGTCTCAGAATGAATGAATGAGTTAATAAATGAACGCACAAATGGTAAGCTAGCTTACTTAGACCAACCCACTGGGTAAAAATAACCAAAAATGCTGGACAAAATATTTTTTTAGAAAGAGTGGCAAAGGGACTTCCCTGGTGGCGCAGTGGTTAAGAATCCGCCTGCCAGTGCAGGGGACATGGCTTCGAGCCCTGGTCCGGGAAGATCCCACATGCTGCAGAGCAGCTAAGCCCGTGTGCCACAACTACTGAGCCTGCGCTCTAGAGCCCGTGACCCACAACTACCTGAGCCCGCGCACCTAGAGCCCGTGCTCCGCAACAAGAGAAGCCACGGCAATGAGAAGCCTGAGCACCGCAACGAAGTGTAGCCCCCGCTCACCACAACTAGAGAAAGCCCGCGCACAGCAACGAAGAACCAATGCAGCCAAAAAATAAATAAATTTTTTAAAATAAATAAAAATAAAATAAAAAGAGTGGCAAAGAGCCAACAAAGAAGTGGGAATCTCTCGGCCAAAACTAAAGAGAGACTGGAAACCAGAGAGGTAAGGCGGCCTGGGAGCTGCTTTGGTCCTAAGGACATTTGCCAATTTAGAAAAGGTTAACTTTCCTTCTAACAGCTTCCCAGGGCAAGGAAAGAGCATAGCCCATGGTCTGCACAAATGGGGAATCAAAGAGAAGACCCTTCTTACAATAAGCTGGGATTCCCAAGGGCCAGACTTTCAGGGGAAAGGTGACTAGAAATATACCAGCCCCTCATGGCCTCACACTCAGGGTTCCCACCAGTCACCGGGAACCTTGAGCTTTAAGAAGACCTCCAACCACTAGTGTCCAGCCCCCTCACCTCCCACGTCAGGGCCTCACAGACCAGAACTCCCTCTTTTTTTTTTTTTCCATTAAGTTGAAATTTACATAACATAAAATTGTTTTAAAGGGTGCAATTCAATGGCATTTGAATTGATGGCTGTACAACCAGCGCCTAAATCTAGTTCCAGAACATTTTCACCAGCCCCAAAGGAGACCCCACACCCATTAAGCAGTCATTCTCCATCCCACCACTTCCTCAACCCCTGGCAACCACCAATCTGCTTCCTGTTTGGGATGAACCTCAAACAAACTATGGTAAGTGAAAGAAGCCAGGCACAAAAAGGTCCCATATTGTATGGTTCCATTGGTAGGACCATTGCTTTTAAGACGTACACATGCATATTTCTTTACGTTAACGTTGTGAAGAATTTGGGAAATGGTGCGTCACCTGCTGTGGATTCCATTTCCTCTTTAGCCGGCAACATGTCAATTTGGGTTCCTAAAAGCAGCCCTAGCACAGTAACTCTCAACCTTGGCTTCACATGGGAATTATCTAGGGGAGCTTTAAAAAGTACTATCCGGGGGCTTCCCTGGTGGCACAGTGGTTGAGAGTCCGCCTGCCGACGCAGGGGACAGGGGTTCGTGCCCCCGTCCGGGAAGATCTTACATGCCGCGGAGCGGCTAGGCCCGTGAGCCATGGCCGCTGAGCCTGCGTGTCCAGAGCTTGTGCTCCACAATGGGAGAGGCCACAACAGTGAGAGGCCCGCGTACCACAAAACAAACAAACAAACAAAAAAGTAGTGTGCAAACACATTAAGGGAACTCAGAGTCCAAACGGGCTCTGGAGGTGGTTGGACTGAAAATCTGGGAAGGATCAGGAGAGGGCAGCATTTAAGCTGGGCTTTTAATGATAATTAGAACTTCAGTTGGAAGCGGATGTAGACGGAAGAGTACTTAAGGCCCAGAGAATTTTTAGGATTCTCTATGTATAGTATCATGTCATCTGCAAACAGTGACAGGGCACCTCCGGGGACCAGCAAGATTTCTTGGGTAGCTCTTGGCACTGGATGTGAGGACAGACATATGTAGTAGAGAAGATACCTCACTGAATACCAGGATGTGAGGCTGGAGAGGTAGGCTGAGCCAGACTAAAAGAAGTCATTAGACACCAGCCTAAGAAGGGGTTCCCCATGTGAGACAGCTGCCACCCCTCAACCCAACCAGGCAGTGTTCCTTCACAGTGGTCCTTCCCAAGACCACTGGCGCCACGGTGATGGTGTCTACTTACGTCAAAAGAATATCCCCATACTGGCTATCTGACATCTCTTTGGCTGGCTGGAATATATTTCTTTCTTCCTCTTTGAGTTTCTGAAGTTGTTGTTGCTTCTTTTTCAATGCACTCTCCTTCCTCAGAATAGTAAAGTATCCACGGCCAGTCTTCACCCACTGAATCAAGATGCTGGAGAAAGAGAGAGGAAGATGAGTTGGCCATCAACGCAATGTCTTACTGTCTTGGGACTGATAATCCATTGAAGGGCACTCTCATGCCCAGTAGCAGGAGACCTCCTGCCTTTAGAATTCCAAAGTCACAGAGACCTAAGCTTGGATTATGGACCCACCTCTTACCAAAGACCTTGAACAAATTATCTAACCTCTCCTGGTTTCAGTTCCATCACTCCATAAACATTTATTGAGTGCCTACTATGTGCTAGGCACTCTGCTATGTCCATTGAAATGAGCATAATAATTCACACCCCAGAGAATTAATTTAATTGGCAGTGTTTTTATTTTGTTTTGTTTTTCATGGTGTGTCTCAGATTCAATGAAATGCAGTATTTGAGTTTCTTATACATATGTCACCGGAAAGTCACCAGCAATCTTTTTCTAAATTTAGACCCTGCTTCTCAGCTCATGTAAAGTTTTCTGAATCTCTGTGCTACACGACACATGTGCATCCCAGCCGGTCACTGGCAGGTGCGGATCAGACATCATCTGCCCAGCCCATATTCTCGTTACAGCAAAACAGTCTCTCAGGTTCCTCATGTATAAAATTGTGCAAAACCAAATGAATGTGTACGCTGGTGGAACACAGTGAAACCAGATCATACAGAACTGGCCCTGAATTGTCCATTTGGGCTCTTATTTTTAAGTTTAGGGATGCAAGCTGTTGATCTGAGGTGGAATTCATATTTGAAACAAAAATGTGCTTCGGTTTTGCTTTCAAGCTTCTGAAATCCACTCATCAAAGAGCATCCGGAGGTTGCCAGATAACCTGATAGAACGAAAACCGTAACCATGAGCAACCCCTTAATTTCACAGGGGAGGATTTTCTTGATGTGGCACAAACAAAGCAAATGCAGAGCTATTCTGGGAGCTGGGGCTGACAGCAACTGTTTTTTCGTGGTTATGTTACTTCACAGAGACTCTTCCGCTCAAAATGTGGTTCATAGGTCAAGACTGACGTCACACATGCACCACAAGGGTGTGAAATGACATGACTCACATTATGAGGCTTTCTGGGCTCTGAAGCAAGTCTGCAATCAGCTGAGGGAGCAGGGTCGGGGGTTGGGGGGAAGGGAGGGCCGGCTTAGGGTTTTCTGGGAGTGGGGCTGGGGTGAGGGGTCCCTTGTTTGAGTGTGGTCTCAACTTCCCACCAGCACCAAAACAAGGAGCACCTTGGGTTTCTTATCAGCTTTTGCCCAGATGTGGGGCAGAGGGAAAGGGTGGGGAGGAGGGGGGCGGGCAGCTCAAATGTTGTCAAAGGTCGCACGTCAAAAATGGAGTCAGACTCTTCATTGCGTTAATTCATGCCCAATTTCAAATGTGTGAGTTTGCCTAAATAGCTGCATCATTATTAACCATTCAACAAAAATGTAATGAATACCCGCTGTGTGTCAGGAGCTACTCTAGGTGCTGAGGTACAGCAGCCAACAAAACAGCTCACAACATTCTTGTCCTCATGAAGCTCCTACTCCAGGGGGTGGAGACAGACACTAAACAGAGTGAAGTGTAGGTGACACGCTAAGTTCCAGGGAGAAGCATAAAGCAGGGACAGGGGAGAGTGAGAGACAGGGGTGGGGTGTGGATTGGTGCCATTTTAAATTGATGGTCAGCGAGGGCCTGGCTGAGAAGGTGACATTTGAGGAATGACATAAAGGAGGTGATGGAGTAAACCATGCAGATACCTGGGGGAAGGGAACAGCATGTGCAAAGGCCCTGGGCAAGTACAACTTTACATACAGAAAAGTTTCGCTTTCGTTGAATAAAATGTTATGTGACATCACATAGTACAGTTTGTGCTCCTGAAAGATTATATTTGTCTGATTTAGATACTGGTCTTCTATCTAAAACTTTTGTTTAACAGAAAGGATCTGCTCTGAAAAAGGAAGGAAGGAAGGAAGGGAGGGAGGGAGGGAGGGAGGGAAGGAGGGAGGGGAGGGGAGAAGGAAGAAAAGCACTGCTGTGTCCCAGACTGGGTGCTACTCTAGGAAGCAATAGATGTTACCACTTTATTAAGAAGCTCATGTCTATTAACTCCAACTAACATCCTCAAGTTCTGAGCCCCAGCAATTGGAGAGGTCTGCCATCGGACCTCAGTGAGACTTCTCAAGCGCATCCAGGGTGCTTCTGAGATGCAGCAAATCATCTGGATAAGAGGCTTTTTCAGTGAACGAGGCAATGTTGTGGTTTCACATCTGTGGTAGAACTTAGCCCTGTAGCTCAACAGTTCTGTGTTCTGCCCTCCGGCGAGTCCCTCACTTCTGGGTGTGTGAGTTCACTTATTTATCCTCACAACAGCTCGACCTTGTGGGCACTGTTGTTATCATTTCCATTTGCAGATGAGGAAACAGGCCCAGAAAGGTGAGGTCAGAAAAGCTGGAAAGAAGCAGGTCTGGGGTCTGAACCCAGGTAGTGGATTCCCCTGTGGGGTCGGACTACAGAGTCTGCTGGTTTGTAGGAGGTCAGGATGTTTCCACTGGGGAGTCTCACCAGCTTGTCCTGGAAATCCCTGTCCTTGACTTGGAGATTCTATAGGCCACCAGGTGTCCTTGGCTAACTTGGGTGGCTTGTCATTGACTGGTCGGTGTTAGGGGCTCGCCTTTACCTGTTGCCCAGATTCTCTCTTGGAGTAGAAGGCTGTCAGCAAGGCCTCTCAGGTCCCAGAACAGACCATATAGTCTTCAGAGGCAGAGGGTGGGACCAGCACTGAGAAGTCTCATGTGTGATAACTGTGCACAACAGTGGGAGGGGTTCCAGGGACCTGGAGCTGACCCAGGCAGTATGGTGGGCTTTGCGTTCTGATTTCACTGTGTAACTGAACAAAAGCCTTTGTCTTTCCCTGCAGAAACTGTAACCAACTAGATCCTGAAATGCACGTGTTATGGACTGAATTGTGTACCACCCCCTAGCCAAATTCATAGGGTGAAGTCTCAACCCCCAGTACCTCAGAATGTGACCTTATTTGGAAATAGGGTCACCGCAGATGTCATTAGTTAAGATGAGGTCATACTGGAGGAGGGTGGGTCCCTATGCCAATATGACTGGTGTCCATATAAAAAGGGGAAATTTGGGCACAGACACATAGGCAGAGAGAAAACCATGTGAAAATGAAGGCAGAGATCAGGGCAATGCTTCTGCAGGCCAAGGAATGCCAAAGATTGCCAGCAAATCAGCAGAAGCTAGGAGAGAGGCATGGAACAGATTTTCCCTCTCCGACATGAGAAGGAACCAACACTTCTGATACCCTGATCTTGGACTTCTAGCCTCTGGAACTGTGAGACAATAAATTTCTGTTGCTTAAGCTACCCAGTTTGTAGTACTTTGTTACAGCAGCCCTAGTAAACTGTTAGAGCATGATCAAATATCTAAGCCTACACTCATGGAACAGCCCAACTCTTTATTTTCTTTGACTGCAAGGGTTAACGAAATCCTTATTAAATTAATTTTATAATAAGTGACAGGCTGAAGGTCATGCCACAGTAAATAAAAGGGACCTGAATATTATGTACCAGGCCCTGAGCTGGACACCTATTTTGTGTCAGATCCTGTTCTAGGCAGTTATGATGTGTCAGGTTCTGTTCAAACACTGGCACTACAAAGGCGAACACATCCTCAAAGAATTCACAGTCTGCACCTCTGCATCTAAGTTATCTTATTTCTACAAAAGTAGAAATTAAGAGGTTGTTAAGAGATTTATCTGACTTCTTTATGCCCTTATGCCAAAAAGGATTAGGAGCAGAAAATTTTAAAAGTGAGAAGGGCAGGAGACATGAGAAAATAAGAAAACAACATCAGGTAAGACAAGTATCGAAACCCATGACACATGAGCTAGTGCACAGATTTGGCCCTCAGCATCCTAGCGGCCAGCACAAAGAGGGAAACACAATCCCTCATGTGATTCCTAATGACCAGGAGATTTTGAAACAGCTGTTCAGGTGATGCCTAGCCATTCCTGGTGGAAGAAGAAGAGATTTCTTTCAAGGATCTGTATAGGGACGACACTGAAAAGCGAAGTCTGCAACAAACCTCTAGATGCGGGTAGGGATAAATGCCTCTCTTACTGATTGACTCACAGAAGAGCATCGGGGAGTTGGTGTTGGCAATTTGAGGAATCTAGCAAGTTTTCTGGTAGAACTGCAGCCCCTTTCAACCAAGGCAGCCAGACTCCTAGCAGTTAGATCTTCTGGAAAAACCTGGTTGAGAGATGAACAGAGGTGGTGGTGTGTGTGTGTGTGGGGGCCGGGGTGGGCAGGGGTTGTCTGGGCCCTCAGGTCAGACCCACCATCCTATTCTGGGAACTTCAGGCTGCGGGGTGTTCGTTCCGTGCACCGTGAAGTGCTCCCCTGTTACTGCAGAGGCCCATTTAAAAATGCTTAGTATTTTAGCAAACTCTCATTTAATTCCCTTGTATGTTCCCTCCATTTTCTTCATCATTATTGCTGATTACCAGGCTATTCGCCTGAAGGGAGCTATTTGCAGGGAAGAGCAGTTTTCGTCTTTAAATCCACTCACCCGGGGCCTCCTGTTCACTGCTTTCCGTGATGTAAAACTCCCACGGCTAACATGGCAAGAGGAACGATGGGGAGTCAAATAATTAACTGCGCCAGGCAAATGCAGGAAGAAGCAGATTAAAAAATGGAAAGTTTCCTCTACCCAAAGCCACTTCCTCTTAACCAATGCATGCGGGTAGGTTTTCACATTTGAGGGACATATGTTCTCTGTACATTCACCAGCCTGTGTGAGCTGATGAATGAAACATTCGCAATATGGCAATAGGAATAGTCTTAGTGGGGCTGAGCTGAGCCACACCAAAGGGGCAGGTTTCACTCCCAAGCACCTTCAGACCTGAGGGCCAGTGTACGCCGTGGTCAGCCTTGGAGGGGCCAGCCTCTTAGATGGGGTCTGTACTTTGCCACTCCCTTAGGCAGGTTTTAAACCTCTCTAAACCACAGCCTCTTC